ACAGGTAATTCTCCTGCCTCAGCCTCCTGAGTAGCTGGGATTACAGGCACGCACCACCATGCCCAGCTAATGTTTTTGTATTTTTAGTAGAGACGGGGTTTCGCCGTGTTGACCAGGATGGTCTCGATCTCTTGACCTCGTGATCCACCCACCTCGGCCTCCCAAAGTGCTGGGATTACAGGCTTGAGCCACCGCACCCGGCCATTGTTTGTAGTTTTAATAAAGATGGGGTTTCATCATGTTGGCCAGAGTGGTCTCAAACTCCTGACCTCAGGTGATCTGCCCACCTTGGCTTCCCAAAGTGCTGAGATTACAGGCATGAGCCACCATGCCTGGTCTGTTTTTATACATCTTCTGAAATCAAGGCTCAGGTTCCCAAACCTCAGTTCTTGGCTTCTGTGCACTTGGCAGTCTCAACACTACATGGAAGCTGCCAAGGACTGCAGCTTCTACCCTCTGAAGCAACAACCGAGCTCTACCTTGATCTCTTTTTGCCATGGCTGGAGCAGTTGGAACACAGGTTACCAAGTCCCTAGGCTGCACAGAGCAAGGGGGCCCTCGGTTTGGCCCATGAAACCATCTTTTCTTCCTAGGCCTCCAGGCCTGTGATGGGAGGGTCTGCCATGAAGACCTCTGCCATGCCCTGGAGATATTTTCCCCATTGTCTTGCTATTAACATTCAGCTCCTTGTTAATTATGCAAATATCTGCAGCTGGTTTGAATTTTTCCTCAGAAAGTGGGATTTTCTTTTCTATTACATTGTCAGCCTGCAAATTTTCCAAACTTTTATGCTCTATTCCCCTTTTAAAATGGAATGCTTTTAACAGCACCCAAGTCACATCTTGAATGCTTTGCTGCTTAGAAATTTCTTCCACAGATACCTGTAAATTTACAGATACCTGTAAATTATCTCTCTCAAGTTCAAAGTTCCACAGATCTCTAGGGCAGGGGCAAAATGTTGCCAGTCTGTTAGCTAAAACATAACAAGAGTCACCTTTGCTCCACTTTTCGACAAGTTCCTAATCTCTGTCTGAGACCATCTCAGCCTGGATTTCATTGTCCATATTGTTATCAGCATTTTTGTCAAAGCCATTCAACAAGTCTCTAGGGAGTTCCAAACTCTGCCACATTCTGAGCCCTCCAAACTGTCCCAGTCTCTGCCTGTTGCCCAGTTCCAAAGTCACTTTCACATTTTTGGGTATCTTTTCAGCAGCACCACACTCTACTGGTACCAATTTACTGTATTAGTCTGTTTTCACGCTGCTGATTAAGACATACCAGAGACTGAGCAATTCACACACAAAAAAGAGGTTTAATTGGACTCAGTTCCACATGGCTAGGGAGGCCTCACAATCACAGCAGAAGGCAAGGAGGAGCAAGTCACATCTTACAGGGATGGCCCCGGGCGAACAGATAGTTTGTGTAAGGCAACTCCTGTTTTTAAAGCCATCAGATCTTGTGTGACCCATTCACTATTATGAGAATAACACAGGAAGGACCCACCCCTATAATTCCATTATCTCCCACTGGGTTCTTACTGCAACACATGGGAAGTAGGGGAGCTACAAGATGAGATTTGGGTGGGGACACAGCCAAACCAGATCAACTAGATTCTTCACCAATAACTTGTTTTATTTTTTGGGTTTCTTTTACAGAGCATATGTTACGAAAAATTTGCATACTAAACCATATATTACAAATGTTGAATAATTATTTTTCTACTTTAATATAAAAACATTTAAAATATAGCCTTTTTTGGAGAGCGGGGGATCGAGTCTCACTCTGCTGCCCAGGCTGGAGTGCTCTATCTTGGCTCACTGCAAACTCTGCCTCCCAGGTTCAAGCGATTCTTGTGCCTCAGCCTCCGGAGTAGTGCATGCCACTATGCCTGGCTAATTTTTATTTTTTTAGTAGAGATATGTTGGCCAGACTGGTCTCAAACTCCTAACCTCAGATGATCCACCCGCCTCAGCCTCCTAAAGTGCTGGGATTACAGGCGTGAGCCGCTGTGCCCAGCAAATATAAGCTCTATAAGCTCTTTTTTTTTTTTTTAAGCTTATTCAGGCTTTGTCATAGCTAAGGAATATTTTTTATAGGCTTTTTGAACCACTTTTGTGGACCTTCATTGATAATTTCACAGACCCTTGGTATGGGCCCTGTAGCTTTCGAATCACAAAAGTAAATGATCCCAGCTGCGTATTTTTATTTTAAAATTCTGCCATTCCAGCATACTTCAAAGACCAGGAAGATATTGTTAAGCAGAAAAACTGGACTTCAGTGTCTGCTTTAGGAACTTCATATGAATGAATTTTTGGATCCTATAATAATTATTGTGTGAATGCTTTTAGAGAAATTGAAAGCAGCTTTATTCTTTTCAGCTGGTTAAACATTCCTACTTAGGTGAACGAATAAGGCAGACCTAAGACTGAATTAGTATAATGTAAATTAGTCATAAAATAATATACATTTTATATAACAATCATAATTATTCTAATTTTTTAAAGTATTTACAATACAAATTTTTGAAAATGGTTTTCTCTGAAGATAAAGAATCTGACACTAGTTTGAGCTATTTTGGTTTTAGGTTAAAAATTATCTAGGAGACTATAAGAAGCATTGCACCCCGTCAGTGCTCCTGTGAGAGACTGACACTGGGAGACGAAAACTGTTCAGATCTCTTGGCTCTGCTTTCTTTTTTTGTTGAGACAGAGTCTCACTCTGTTACCCAGGTTGAGTGCAGTGGCGCAGTCTTGGCTTCTGCCACCTCTGTCTCCCAGGTTCAAGCAGCTCCCCCATAGTAGCCTCCCAAGTAGCTGGGACTACAGGCATGCACCACCACGCCCAGCTAATTTTTGTGTTTTTTGGTAGAGACCTGGTTTTACCATGTTGACCAGGTTGGTTTTGAACTCCTGACCTCAAGTGATCTGCCCACCTTGGCCTCCCAAAGTGCTGAGATTACAGGCCTGAGCCACTGTGCCCAGCCTCTATTTTCATATTATATTCTGAATCCAAACACATTTTATCAATTTCACTGCTACCATTCTAGTCAAGGCTACCATTATCTTTGCCTGGATTATAATAATAGTCTAATTGATCTCCCTTCTTGTCATCTCCCCCTGCAGATATATATATATATATTGTTATATATATATATATTGTTATATATATATATATATATATATATATATATATATAGTTCTTGTTGTTGTTGTTGAGTCAGAGTCTCACTCTGTCACCCAGGCTGGAGTGCAATGGCGTGATCTTGGCTCACTGCAACTTCCAACTCCCGGGTTCAAGCAATTCTCCTGCCTCAGCTTCCTGAGTAGCTGGGAGGCACTTGCCACCATACCCGGCTACACAGGAGGTATATTGTTTACATAGCAGCCAGAGTAGGCTGGTTATGTGTATGTTCTACTTTCTTTGAATTGAATTCACTTTTGAGTTACACTTTTAGGAGTTTTGCAGATGCATGCAGTTGTATAACCACCACCTAAATCAAGATACAGAACAGTTCCCTCAGTTCCCCAGAGTCTCTTATACTACCCCTTTGTGTTTATCCCTTTACTCCATCTCCACTGATCTATTTTCTGCCCCTATAATTTTGCATTTTCCAGAATGTCATATAAATGGTATTCTGTAATAAGTAGCCTTTAGAACAAGCCCTTTAGACTATATATCTGTTGATATTAGCTCCATAATCAAAACCTGCTAATGGCTTCCCATCACATCCTCCTGGCACTGCCTCCCTAAGTGTTGGGATTATAGACATGAGCCACCACATCTGGCCTTTTCCCAAGTTTCTGCATGGCTTACTCCTTCCTTTCATTCAGCTTTCTTATCACATGTCACCTCATCAAGTAAGTCTTCCACCTGCCTGTTACCCTGTAAGTTTTTATCCTCATACTCTACCTAATTTTTCTTCCTGACATTTTTCTGCCTAACATTCAGTTATTCATTAGTTTGTTTATTTTCTGTATTCTCCTTCTAGAATGTCAACTTCACAAAGGCAAGAGCTTTTTTTTTTCACTACTGTATCCCTAGTGCTTAGAACAGAGATGCTCAGTAAGTGTTGAATAATTTAATGGTTAGGCACATGGATGGAAGGGGTTAAGATTCAGAAACAGGATGTGACAGCCATTGGTAAGAGACTCCAGCACAAGAAGTTCAGGCTATCAGGCAGAACATGGTATTCCAACAAATGTAAGATCCTGCAACAGATGGTGAACGCATTGCCTTGACATAGAGGTAGAATGAGACAAAAGTTGGGAGTGAATAGTATTTCACTGTGTATTGAAGCTAGGTAAAAGAACAGTTGGGATTAGGAAAGCCTCAGGGAGTGGGGGCTCTAGCTCTCTGGAGGCAAGTGAGGCAGGTACCAGTCACAGGCTGTCCTGGGGTTGTTATGTGTAAAGTGTCTGGCACAGTACCAAGAGTCCCACAGGGCCCCTGCACACAAGCGTAGGGGAATCAGGGAGGAACCTAAAACCTGACCCTGGTGATTACTGAGAGTCTTACAAGTAGGACTTGTTTCCTCTTGGGTGAGAGCTCCCTAACTTCCTCCTGAGATCAGCACCGGTGCTGGAGGGCAAGCCTGGAATGGATGCTGAGCACAATGTTCGGGTACTGGTCATTGCACATTCACCATTTGTTGAGTTAAATAGTGGACATAATACAAGTAGACCTCAAGTGTTGAGACAAAAAAACTACAAAGTCTGAGAAGTAGCTTCTTTATTTCATTTTATTTTTTTGAAACGGAGTTTTGCTGTTGTCACCCAGGCTAGAATGCAATGGCATAATCTCAGCTCACTGCAACCACTGTCTCCCGGGTTCAAGCGACTCCCCTGCCTCAGCGTCCTGAGTAGCAAAGATAACATGCACGCACCACCACGCCTGGCTAATTTTTGTATTTTTATTTATTTATTATTTTTTTTAAAGAGAGGGTTTCACCATATTGGTCAGGCTGGTCTTGAACTCTCGACCTCAGGTGATCCACCCGCCTTGGCCTCCAAAGTGCTTGGATTACAGGCGTGAGCCACCATGCCTGGCCAATTTTTGTATTTTTAGTAGAGACGGAGTTTTGCCATGTTGGCCAGTCTGGTCTTGAACTCCTGACCTCAGGTGATCTGCCTGCCTCAGCCTCCCAAAGTACTGGGATTACAGGTGTGAGCCACTGTGCCTAGCTAGAACTAGCCTCTCTTTTTTGGTTTGTTTTAAATGTATGTATTTGTGACTTAATCTGAATTATGTTTATATTCAAGTATTTGAGTAGGATTAAACCTGTTTTAGATTTCCTGAATTTATGCTTTAATTTTATTCCTTCTTGTTTTCGGTTTTTTGATGCTAGAGTTAAGGAATTAATTAAAGGTGACATCAATTGCAAACCCCACTGTTTTGTGTGCCACTAAGAAAAAATGTTGCCAGTGATGCAGTATTTTATTATCACTTAGAATTTTTGTTTTATACTTATTAAAGAGCTCATAAAAGACTTATTTAGACTAGATTTTTATCTCATATACCGCTCCTGGTTTTGGCTGTACTGCTTGACGTGTGAAAGGCAGTGTTTTCTACATACTTCAGTAGAACGACTTCATCTATTTTGTGGTTACTTTCCTTTCTCACTTGGTTGTTGCCTTACAGGAAAAAAAAAGAAAAAAGAATTGTGATCAGTTCTTCAGTAATGAATGTATGCTTCATTAATATTATATTAATTTTATGGCCTACTGCTCTTTGTACCTTTCTGCATTCACAAAATTTTCCTCCACATGTCGTACCAACAGTGTCCATACCTTAATTCAGACGATGCCAGTACAAAGAACTGGAACTGAGTGTGTGTGTGTGTGTGTGTGTGTGTGTGTGTGTGTCAGTGTCAGCAATTATAAGATGCCAAGAATTTAAAATCCTTCCCAATTGCAGATATATTAAAATATAGATCTTAGAATTCATGAAGTTTGGTGTCTTCATCATTGTTAAACATAGTTTTGGGCATCCAGTATGTTTTAGGCATCATATAGAATATTAAGTATTTTTTTAGGTAACTATCAGGTTTCTCTGAGATAATCTCAGTTTAAAAACCCATTTATTCATTCCAAAGGATAATTTCTTGAGAGGAGATAACTCCCGTAAAGTTCAGCACCAGCAGCAGAGGAAACCCAGGAAAAAAACCAAGCCTCCTGCACTAACCAAAAAACACAAGAAGAAGAGAAGACGTGGACCTCGTCGACCCCAAAAACCCATTCCCCCTGCAGTCCCTCAAGGGAACCTCAGCATGCCCGCCAGCGTCTCACTGCCAGTGGAGGCCTCTCAGATCCGGTCAGTGGTGGTACCGGGGCTTAATTTTTCTTACATATTTTCAGATTCTTCTCAGAACATCTAGCTTCAAGTGGTTATTATAAAGTTGTCACTAGGCTACAGAAGCCATTTAGTATATCAGCCTAGATTTTTAAAATAGTTTTTGGTACAAATTTTACCTGTATCTGACTGTATTTTATCGAAAATTAAGCTTTTGCTTATAATAAAGAAAATAGATGCCAAAATTGAGTTTAATTGTATACTCTCAAAAAACATTTTTTTTCTTTTTCCTTTTTTTTTTTTTTTTTTTTTGACACCAAGTCTTGCTCTGTCATCCAGGCAAAGTGCAGTGGCGCGATCTCGGCTCACCGCATCCTCTGCCTCCAGGGTTCAAGCAATTCTCCTGCCTCAGCCACCCCAGTCTGGGGTCACTGGCATGCGCCATCATGTCAAGCTAATTTTTGTATTTTTGGTAGAGACGGGGTTTCATCATGGCCAGGCTAGTCTCAAAGTCTTGATCTCAAGTGATCTACGCTCCTCGACCTCCTAAAGTGCTGGGACTACAGGCATGAACCACTACACCTGGCCTCTAACTTTTAAGAATGTTAGCAGAAATTCCATATATGTTCCAACAGAAGTATTCCATCAGAAATATGAGGCATTATTATTTTGACAGGGTTAAACATTTTGACCAGAAGAATGAAGCTTTTGTTTTAGCTAAGCATTTCAGTTTTACCTGTTGTTAATTTCATTTTAAAAATTATTATTTTGACCAGATTTGAAATTCTAAAAAGCATCAAGATACATTTGATACGCCAAATTGTGACTCATTGTACTAATTGAAGTAAAAATATTACCTAGTAGTTGTTGTTATCTCTTAATACATGGGTCAAGGTTGCAGAAATATGTGACTGCATACGGTGAGGCCTGAATTTTTGCAGTGATTCTACTTTCATATTTCCTTCTTTTAAAGTAGGAGAGGAGATACTGTAAGTTAGGATTTCTCATGTTTCTGTTGAATACAAAAAGCCTAGGGCCAGGTCCAGTGGCTCACACCTATAATCCCAGCACTTTGGTAGGCTGAACAGGTGAATCGCAAGGTCAGGAGTTTGAGACCAGCCTGGTCAAGATGGTGAAACCCCATCTCTACTAAAAATACAAAAATTAGCCAGGGATGATGGCTGGTGCCTGTAATACCAGCTACTTGAGAGGCTGAGGCAGGAGAATCGCTTGAACCCAGGAGGCAGAGGTTGCAGTGAGCCAAGATTGCGCCTCTGTACTCTAGCCTGGGCAACAGAGCAAGACTCAATCTCAAACAAACCTAGGGGACATTAGGATTGGCTTTAGCTCAGGTAATTACTTCCTTACTTTCCATCTGTCTAATCCCTTTGCTGGAGTTCAAGACCTGCTGGGGCTTTCTGACCTTTTTTAAAAAAAAAAAAAAAAACCTGAAAGACGTTAGCTAGTTTTGTTTGAGACAGAGTCTTGCTCTGTTGCCAGGGCTTGAGTGCAGTGGCATGATGTCAGCTCACTGCAACCTCTTCCTCCTAGGTTCAAGCAATTCTCATGCCTCAGCTCCTCAGTAGCTGGGATTACAGGTGTGTACCAACATGCCCAGCTAATTTTTGTATTTTTAGTACAGACAAGGTTTTGCCATGTTGACAGGCTGATCTTGAACTCCTGGCCTCAAGAGATCCACTTACCTTGGCCTCCCAAAGCGCTGGGATTACAGGTGTGAACCACTGTGCCCAGCCTGACATTAGCTTCTTTTCATGTTGAATGAACTTGGCTTGGTGGTATTGGTATGAAGATAAAGTGGGAGTTACAGAACCGACTGTGTCCTCTTTCCCAGGAGCCCATCCACACCAGAGCTGAGTGCTGATGAGTTGCCGGATGACATTGCCAATGAGATCACTGACATTCCACATGACTTGGAATTGAACCAGGAGGACTTTTCAGACGTCCTGCCACGGCTACCTGATGACTTACAAGATTTTGATTTTTTTGAAGGTATAGTCAATATTTTGACTCAAGGAAACTGGTTTTAAAAACGAGTTTATAAGAAAGGAAATATTGTTTTGAGATGTGTTTGTCGTATTTCTTCTCACATACAATGTCTTTCACTGTAGATAGGAAATATAATACCGTTGCAGCTATTTTACCCCTTTCAGAAGATAAGGAATGTACAGTTTGTTTAGCCATCTCATAATTTGGTGACTAGGTTTATAACTTTGTTTCTTTCTTTCTTTTTTTTTTTTTTTTTGGAGATGGAGTCTCACTCTGTTGCTTGGCTCACTGCAATTTATGCCTCCTCGGTTCAAGTGATTCTTCCGCCTCGGCCTCCCAAATAACTGGGATTACAGGCATGTGCCACCATGCCCGTCTAATTTTTGTACTTTTAATAGAGGTGGGGTTTCACCATGTCAGTGAGGCTGGTCTCGAACTCCTGGCCTCAAGTGATCCACCCACCTTGGCCTCCCAAAGTGCTGGGATTACAGGTGTGAGCCACCGTGCCTGGCCCAACTTTGTTTCTTTAAAGTGAATATTTTTACTTTATTTTTGGACAGGGATATCTTGAAGACGAGTTTTGTTTTTTGGGGGGAATGGAGTCTCACTCTGTTGCCCAGGCTGGAGTGCAATGGTGCCATCTTGGCTCACTGCAACCTCTGCCCCCTGGGTTCAAGAAATTCTCCTCCTGGGATTGCAGGCACCTGCTACCATGCCCGACTAAGTTTTGTATTTTTAGTAGAGACAGGATTTCACCATGTTCATCAGGCTGGTCTTGAACTCTTGACCTCAGATGATCCACCTGCCTTAGCCTCCCAAAGTGCTGGGACTACAGGTTTGAGCCACTGCACCTGGCAGAACATGAGTTTTGACGTCTTTGAGAACTTGCCCTAGTTTGATGCTCCGCCTTGTACTTCAAAGGAAGTGCACTTTTCCAAAACGAAGTTTGTTTAATCCTGCCAATTCCCCCATACTTTCCGGGGAAACCTTTTATACTCTTAGAATGTTTCTTTCACCATTAAAAATTGAATATTTTCATGGCGATTAATCAAGGTCCTAACAGTAGATTTTTTTAAATATTAGAAATGAAATCAAAGTAGATCCATTGGTTTCCATTTTATGAAAATTAGTAAGAAATGGGAAAAGAATGAGGGAGAAGGATTAGAGAGTAAAGCAAAAGCATTTTGAAAGATAACCCATGAAATGAACTGAGTGCTTAGTGTTGTGCTAAAATAGACGTATGAACGTCTGTGTTTTAACCTTCCACAGCTGCCCTCTAGCTGGGAGGGTCAGGAGTAGAACAGGCAAGGTGGAACTGTTCTACACAGCCTTTTGTCTCAAATCCAAGTTGATATTAATATGTTTTCTATTTTAATGATGGTAATATAATTTTAGGTAAAAACATGTATAATCACATAGTCACCATGAGTTTTAAATTTGTAATCCGTAGTTTCTAAGAATTTAGTACTTTGATAAGATGGTTTTTGAGATTTTTTTGGTAAATAAACTGAAGATGGTGATTAAGATTCCAGGACAGCTGACATTTCAGACCTGTCCAGATTAGTATTTCACTTTTTCCTTCCAGTCCAAATCTGGAAACTTTTCTTTTCAAGAGGGTCTCTTTTTCAACAGAAAATTATTTAAAATAATTCAAATGTGTGATTTTTGTGATACAGAACTGATAAAAGCTCTACTGATTCTTGATGGCTTTTGTTGACATAGGGAAGAATGGAGACCTCCTTCCAACTACCGAAGAGGCTGAGGAGCTTGAGCGGGCCTTGCAGGCTGTAACTTCTCTCGAGTGCCTGAGTACCATCGGGGTCCTTGCCCAGTCAGATGGTGTGCCAGTCCAGGAGTTGTCAGATAGAGGAATAGGGGTGTTCTCCACAGGTACTGGAGCTTCAGGAATACAATCCTTGAGCCGAGAAGTGAACACAGACCTAGGGGAGCTATTGAATGGGCGTATAGTACATGATAATTTTTCTAGTCTAGAGCTGGATGAGAACCTGCTCCGTTCTGCTACCTTGTCAAACCCACCTACACCCCTGGCAGGGCAGATCCAGGGGCAGTTCTCTGCCCCAGCCAACGTTGGCCTTACTTCTGCCACTCTGATCAGCCAGAGTGCACTTGGGGAGAGAGCCTTCCCAGGACAGTTTCATGGACTTCATGACGGCAGCCATGCCTCCCAGAGGCCACATCCTGCCCAGCTGCTGAGCAAGGCAGATGACCTAATCACCTCACGACAGCAATACAGCAGTGATCACTCCCACTCCTCGCCCCATGGAAGCCATTATGATAGTGAGCATGTGCCGTCTCCCTACAGTGACCATATCACCTCTCCCCACACAACATCGTACTCTGGTGATAATATGGCAGCTACCTTTTCAGCAGAGATGCCCATCATGGCGCAGCACTTGCTCCCAACCCAACTTGAGGTGCCACTTGGAGGAGTGGTAAACCCCAGAACTCACTGGGGCAATCTCCCCGTCAACCTCGGAGATCCCTCTCCATTTAGCAACCTTCTCGGCGCAGATGGACATCTTCTTTCCACTTCCCTATCCACGCCACCCACTACTTCGAACTCAGAGACCACACAGCCTGCCTTCGCCACCGTGACCCCCAGCAGTTCCAGTGTGCTTCCGGGGTTACCGCAGACCAGCTTCAGTGGCATGGGGCCTTCTGCTGAACTAATGGCCTCCACCTCTCCCAAGCAGCAACTCCCTCAGTTCAGCGCAGCCTTTGGCCACCAGCTGAGTTCTCACAGTGGCATTCCTAAGGACCTGCAGCCCAGCCACAGCTCTATAGCCCCTCCTACAGGCTTCACAGTAACAGGTGCCACAGCTACAAGTACCAATAATGCATCTTCTCCCTTTCCCTCCCCTAACTGAAGGTGTCTGTGCGTTTGCAGGCAGGTGGGGAACCCAGTGTTTTCTATCTTTGTTTCCTCTTTAGCACCCCTCTCCCCTTTTCCTAAAGAAGATTTAAAAAATAACAGATGGGGATTAGGGGGCACCCCCCCTTCCCAGTTCAATAAGTGGCCCTGCAGTGGACCTCGCTACAGTGTTCACATGTGCTCCTTAGCACTGGTGCTCATTCCCTCCTGGCAGGCCCACTCCGCCCCAGTGGTTTCCTTAGTGGTTCAGCACAGTGACTGGATAGGATTGATTTTTAGTAGCAAGTCCTAGAAGTGGAAGATACCTCAGAATACCAGTGCCCTTTACTATTTCCTAGTATTCAGATCAATGCTTTCCATTCTATTGCCAGGTTTTTACATAGGTGGTTCTAGATAGAATGATCATATTACTTCAGTTCCAGTATAAGAGACAGCAAATGGTGTGTGGCAGGTCAAGACTTAGCACCAACTGCTAAACATCACAGTGAGGCCAGGATTTCATTCCTAATTGTGATCATGTTTAACTAAAAGAAAAAAATGTGTCATTTGACTGCCTGTGAGTATGTGTGTGCCCACGCGTGTGTTTTTGTGCAGTGCAGGAAGCAGCAGTCCCATTAGTTTGTTTTTCGTTTTGTTTTTTTTCCCCTCTAATGAGTATGAGGCTCTTACTTTTCTCCTCTCCTACATCTCACAATCCTAATAAGGTTGGTCCTTCTTTTCCTCAAATTTCGTGAATAGGGAGGGTGGTGGGCTGGTCATGTGAATAGCACAACCTTTTTCTGCTTAAAACCCAAGAAGAAACAGAACATAGAAAGCTTGGATTCCTGTCGGTGAGGTAGGGGTGTCCTGAAAAGCTTGCCTGGGGCGACTGCAGGCTGCCGGGGCTCTGGGGCCTAATGGCCCCTTTGCCTTTTCAGGCATATGTTTGTTTGTAAATCCCTCTCTCATGGAATACATGTGCAAGATGTAATAAAAGAAAATATTTTGATGTGAAAAAGCAGGATAGGTCAGATAGATTTGAAAAGATGGGATCTGTGAACTCCTCGATCCATCTTTTGCTTTTGAATTTTTCATGTTTACGGTTGTGGTTCTTTGGTAAGATTTGTAAAATGTTGAAGACACTTGTAGAATCAGTGTACCAGTTGTGAAGTGATGTGTAATATCTGAAGGATACACATTTTAAAGTTCCTTTCAAAGCAGAATATGGAAATTAGACATAAATTTTATCCACCCTTTGGTACTTTTAAAATAATTTAAGTACTTGGGTTTAAGTAAATTTGAAAATAGTTTTGGGAAATGTTTTTAAAATGCCAGGATTTTAGGGTTAAAAATCATATTGGGTAGTTTAGGAAATTCGTGACTATGAAATGAATTTGTGAGGTTTTTTGCCTGCCTTTTTTTTTCCCCTAGAGAAGGGTGGAACTAGATTTGAAAGGCATCTCTACTCTGCTTTTGCCGAGTAGTTTCACTGTCCCTTGAGATACCGTTGGCTATTTATACCTGAGTCTAGTCTAATTTACATATATATATATATATTTTAAAAGTTAAGTAGAGAGAACATATCTATTGATGTGGTTCAATAATTCATTTGTCAGGGAATATTTGATCTTAATTCCTTTCTGATAGGTAATGATTGGATGTATTTTCCTACTTCCTATACATAATCTCTTTATGCCATGCTAGTTCTAACCAGTCCCTTCTTTTGAAAGCTTTTCTTTCTCTGCTTTTTAAAGGAATGATGGTGATCAGCAGGCATTATGCAGATACCACGTGCCTGAGGTTATGGAGGGGAAATGTCACATGACTGTATGAAATCATTATATGCCCTATTTTGTATTTATTGATGTTTCTTTTTGTGGGCCAAAAATATGTTTGTAATATATTTAGGTTTTTTTACATCATGGTAATTGATTGGAAGATTTATTTTTAATAGCTTTGCCTTTTTTGCAGAGTGCAAAATTTCTAAATTATAACTTATGTCATAAAGCAAAATTATATTTGGTATCACCATAAATTTCTATTCTGAATGGTGAGAACAGATAATTTGAATATTTCTCGCCTGTGAATCTATATTAGTAAGCTTTTTTATTTTAATGTACTGTAATGAAGTGGTCATGAGTAGTTACCTCTGCTCAAAAATGTCATTTAGTTTGTTAAACTATCTTCACAACCCATCATAAGCGTCACTAGATAACTGTCCATCCCCAGCAGTTTGGTTTAGTCTCCATTGTGTATTAATTAAAGGTTGTCGCAGAGCAGCACGTTGACTTCCTCATCAGCCCTTTGACAGCGAAGGGAAAGTCGTGGGTAGTCGATTTGAACTTTTTCTGACAATTTCTCCCTCTGTTAGCTGCTTAAAATTCTTCAGTTATGATACAAAGCTGAGTTTGCAGTAAGTTGCACATTTTATTGTTTGCAATTTTCTGTTTTATGTGCATTTGAAAGCCCTTCTCTGCTTTCTAGTAAGGAGGCGTGAAATTATCAGGAATGTTGCTAGTTACAGCTTCACACCAAAAACTTTGAGTAAATACATTTTCGTTTGGTTGCCCATGATGAAAGCTGAGGAGAGGGCACTTTTAGAAGTACCAGTATAGGGTTGAGGAATTACCAACAACAAATTTTCCTCTTATTTTATCTAGTTCAAAACAGATATCCAAGTTTGCAATTTGCTTTGCTCTTGCTGTTTCTTGTGAGTCCCTTTTTTGGAAGAGAGAAGAACATCTATAAGCCCAGAGATATCCGTGTGTTTTCCTTCTATTCGTAGTTACTTTGCTATTAATATGTATAGAAAGGAATGAAGTGTCTTTTACTCCAGAAATATGAAAATTAATATCTTTTAAACTAGCACTTATGCTATCATAAGACAATACTGGAATCAAAAACAAATCTTATATAAGGTCCTAGTGAGGTAGAAACTAGCTTTTATTCTAGTGTTAAACCCGTGAGAAATAGTGGCAAAGAAGCTTCACTCTGTTTCTGCAGTTCTTTGGGACTATTTATAAAGGCCAGTTAGATTGTGTTACTGTGATTTAATTTACAAAGTTCCTGCAGTTAATGGATGCATTCTGTGCTCTGAGAATCTGAATTCCATTCTAATGTGCGATATTCACTGGCTGTAATCAGAAGAAAAGATGGGCTTTCTCTCCTTGACTGTCTCTACATAATTATTAATATTATTTTAATTAAAGTACTTAAGACATTGTTTTTTCTTCTGTAAAAATGGCTTAGCAATTTGCACATCTGGGTAGGTAATGTAGCTAGTAAACAACTCATAGTAGTAAGTAGCAATTATACTTAACCCACCAAGTGACAGACTATGCAATGGAAAAATTTCTAATTATCGTCACATAGCTTAGACAGCAAAGGATTATTTTCTCTAGTAACCTACCATGTGTGATATAACTGCTTTATAAATGACTTCCTGAGCAATTTCATGTTGGCAGGCAGTGTGGTGTGTCTAGTGTCCCTCTATGAGAAGACCATAATTTAATCAGAAGCAAGTAGTAGGCATGGGGAGCAAATTGGAAAGTGAGGTTATTTTTTTTTCTCTTAAAGTTGGTGTTACTGTCTTTAGTGGCTTAAGGCTAAAGAAAGTTAATACTTTATCCTTGCCAAATAATTATTTATAAGATTTCTTTTTAAAATAAGCCCAGTCTCTGACCTGAAAGTTAGGAATCATCATTTTCTGTGACTGACACTAAAGCTGCTCCTTATCAGAGCTTGTTCTCAATCCGTGATCACAGTCCACAGTGGCAAAGACAGCTCTTTGATTAGGAAGGAAACCATGGTTGTGATGCACAGAGGTGCCCTGTCCATACAGTTTTCTTCTTACATGAAAGAATTGACCTTTCTGTTGACCTGTACCATTCTGTTTTTATAAAGTGGGATTAGAATTTGAGTATATCTAGTAAATGCCGTGTTGTCAGTCCGCCAATGCTTGTCCACTGTCTTTCCCGTGCCTTGGCATCCTAGGGGTGCTGGTGATGGCTGATGGGCATCATCAGTCAGCAGTGCACATGGGAGGCAGTCGTCTTTCCTCCAGGTCAGTTCAGAAGGTCGCCGTGGATTGGTATTGCAAAAAGATGAGGATATTAACACTAAACTAATTAAGAAGTTTGAAATTCATTAAAAAATATTTTTGAGTGTCTAGTTTTCAGTTTCTTCATCTTTCTTTTTAGACTTGAAATTCTCTTCTTAATCTGGTATATATAGAAATCTAATATAATGGTCTTCTAAATGGTCAACAGAACTCTCTAGTTTAATGAGGCAATTTAGAGGATTCCTTGAAAGAAAATTGAGTCATACTGAACAGTCTTCATTTGTATTTTATCACCAGTATTTACATTGTTCCAAAGATTTTTTTTTTCCCTGACAAAAAATATATTGGGGGTGGAGATCATATATATATGTATGTATGTATGTGTATATATATATATATGTGTGTGTGTGTGTGTGTTCTTTCATATCTAAAGGAACATACCAAAATTTGTGTTCTTTCATATATATATGAAAGAACATAGATTCCCCCCCCCAATAAATTAAAAATAACTAAATCTTCACTGGCATTCTGTAGAAAAGTTAAACAGTTTAATAATGTCTTAACATCTTTATAAACTTTCCTGTATTCTAGAGGGAACCAAAAGCATGTTTAGTAGATTAAAGTAACATTTTAAATACTACCTTTCCAATAATTTGTAATAAAATACCAGCGAAGGACATATTTGGATATCTGTTAAACATTTTTCCCTGACTAATGAATTAGGAAAGAAAACATGAATGGTTATGTCTCTTCTAATAAACAGTGTCATTGTGTCATTAATGCTGTAGCTGTGGGTCAAACTTAGGGAGCCTTATTTCTTTTCTTCTCTTTTTTTTTTTTTTTTTTTTTTGAGACGAAATCTTGCTCTGTCACCCAGGCTGGAGTGCAATGGCGTGATCTCATGATCTCAGCTCACTGCAACCTCTGCCTCCCGGGTTCAAGCAATTCTCCTGCCTCAGCCTCCTGAGTAGCTGGGATTACAGGCACCCACCACCACGCTCAGCTGATTTTTGTATTTTTTAGTAGAGACAGAGTTTCACCGTCTTGGCCAGGCTGTCTTGAATTCCTGACCTTGTCATCCACCTGCCTCTGCCTCCCAAAGTGCTGGGATTACAGGTGTGAGCCACCACGCCCAGCCAGGAGCCTTATTTCTAAATAGCAAAAATTCTGTTTTCACTTCAGCCCTTATTTTTTTGTTAGTGTTTCTCTTTCTGCACTGTGATACAGAGCTAATTAAAGGACATGTGACGTTTCAGAGAGAGAGCCAGCAAATTCAGTAGGACTTTTTTTTTTTACCTTATGTTCCTCAGTACTGGGGATGTTTGGCTACTTTGAACAGCAGAGTTTTTAGTGATCTAAAGTTTAGAATGATAATCTTATAAGAAAAAATCTATCTAACTCTCAGTGAGCTGTATAGGGCAGCACAGCTTTCCATCTTTTCTTCCGCCTGCTTGCCTCTGCCCACCACAGTCCTGAAGTATGCACATGTACACATGATCTGTACCGATCCCGGCCGAAGAGTATTAGAATCCCTTTCTTTCACTTGTTTTTTTTCTTTTTTTTTTTTTTTTTTTCTTTTTTTTTTTTTTTTTTTTTTTTTTTTCGTTTGTTCATTTTTGTTTGTTTTTTTTAAGCTGGGGACCACTGAAGTAAGCTCTATATGCACCCAAAGTTCCCCCTTGAAAAAATTTTCAGCATGCAGTACAGAAGGCTCCAATGCAGCTAAATGCCACACCATTGCTTTTACTTGGGGGAGTAGACTGATTTACCCTGAAATGACTCCGGCCTGCATCATTAAGGTACAGTTGGCTCCAATGGATTAGCGCTGAAATGATGGGAAGCTTGACACTTGTTGACATTGTCTTCATCTGTTTGGAAGGGTTAAATCTGTTCTTCTCAACAGTGATAGTTCTTTTCACTGTATAGTATTGAGTATGTCTCAGGGATTCCTTGTGGAAATTAGGGCAGTTTTTAAAAATAAGAAAATAGTTTTAAAAGAAACTAAAGGTGACTCATCATTGAAGAGAGCGGAAGAAAGAGGAAACATTTGGTGTTGTAGCCCACAGTGTCTTGCATAGGACTTTTTCCTTTCTCCTCCAGGCTCTCAGCTTCAGAATACAGAATCCTTTCCCATCACGCACAGCTTTAAAACTTTTATTTAAAAATTTCCTTCCCCAATAAGCTTTCAGAATACTTATTGTAGATTTTAAGAGAAAAGGTATATTAATTTATGCTATTAACATCACCTCATAAATTATAAGTTTTATACTAAAGCTGTATTGAGTATAATGAATTATGTTGCCTATGTGTTTAATAGCTAAATATATATGAGCTTTTTTTTTTTTTTTTTTTGACAAACTAGTGAAGCACCTTTTTACACTGGATCTCTGCCGTGTCAAGGTGTATAGCTATCCTTTGCTACCTTGCAGATATATAAAATAAAAGGATATCCTGGGGCCTCAAAATGTAGAACACCTTTAGACCATTTATAACTGTTCCTAGAACTGTTGAGAATCATGTTCTTTAGTAAATGATCTGTGGTTTACACTTAAGATGGCTAGAAGCTTAGTTACAGGGTACATAGAAATACATAGATCAAGTAAAACTCCAACTACTGTAGCTGGAATTTGTAAACTAAGTTTTTAAGACCTCTTTTATTTCCTATGGATTTATTCTTTAATTTACAGTTTATTCTGTAAGTTGGGAAGTAAAATAGAGAAAATAATTAATTTAGATGTTCTCAGCGTCTTATTCAGGAACTTTTTACCCTCCTCACTAAGGAATTCCCACTGTGACTTTAAAATAGAATTAAATTACTCGTGTGCATGTATATGTCTGTATTTTTTACACACATGCAAAGATATACATTGGGGGCACGTGTGTGAGAGATATGAATGTGTGCTTATATAAAAATAGATAAAGGTAACCGAATGTATTGTAGAAACATGATTTATTTAGTTGAGGGTATTGGAGTTACTTTCTCATTGTCTCTGTTGTATAAATACACCAAATTCATCATTATGTTATCTTATGTTAAAAGGCTAGCTCTGATATCATGTGCATTTTATGTTAACCTTTGGATTAACTTACATTATGCTGTGTTCATAAAATGACATGAGAAACAGGAGGTTCTGAGATCAGCCCCTCACTTTTGAGCATAATAGTAAGAGAGGGAGACAGACAGACCCAGACATGAGCTGTGTTTATCTATTGTGGTGATGGGACCAGAGATCTGTTGAACTTTTTTTACGTTAACAATAGATTTCTTCCTATTCTGAGTAAGAAAATATTGTTGATCATCTTTTCTTGGTGAAGTTAAGAAAAAGTATATGCTTTTCATGAAGAATTTTTGGAAGGGGCTACTTTGTTTAAGGAGTTGGTGGCATCATTTCACCGTGCATATTTCAAAGCTAGGGTGATTTCATTGATTTCCAAAATTTTTCAAAAAACTTGTATTCAGTTGTGCTGTTAATTTATTAGGTTAAGAGTACTCCCATCCCCGTATTTTAGCTATAGGAAAAATTGTACTACCCCTGATTCATATGGATTAAAAATAATACATCCCCATATTTTGAATTTTAAGTTGTCATTTTGCCATACATTCATTACTGGAGTATCTGGTGGTCTGAAATAGTCAAAATTAGAGTTGTTATTAAATGCTCCAATTACATTTATTTTTAATACTTAAAAAATCATGTACTTTGAAATCTGTCAAAACAACTTCTGATAATATACCTGAATTTGTAGTTGTCTCTTATGCGTCATTTACTTCATCTTAGATATAGTGAAGACCTAGGAAAGCTCTATATGCTGTTCTTTTCTACAGTTGTATTTTTGCAGCATCTCCCAGTTTCATTCACTCTTGTGTTGGGATTTTTTTTTTTTAATCTGCATATTTCTTGTACATATGCATGCAAATGAAAGAAGGGAGTTTGTACTGGTGCCATTTCTCCCTTCAGTTGCTGGTTAATGGGATTTGCTAGAATAAATTCTCCCGATTGAAGGGTGAAAACAGACCCT